TGTCCTGCAGCACACTTTCATGAAAAAAATATGCAAAGCTTGTTTTAAAACATAATGTTTTACTCCATAGCATTGCAAACATATTTTGGCAGATGTTCTTAGAATTTCTGTAGCTTCATTTCAAATTACAGTTGAACCTCTCTTGGCCAAATTTAGAGGGAACATAAAAAATTGAAATTTTGGGAAGTTTGAATTAGGAAGGTTTTAAATAATTGAGTTTTGAGTAGCAGAACCAAGCATTTTCATCATTGTAAACACAGAAGAATTGCACAAAATTGTAAATGAGGATATTCTGGGCATTAAATGCATTTCATATGAGTTGACAGGATGCTGAATTTGGTGGCAGTGACTAAATTTGCATAATTTAGTCTTTCCTTTCAAAAAACATCCAAAAATTCTAGTTAGGGAGGCTTGAGAGGAAAAGGTTTTGAGTTAGGGAGGTTTTCAATGCATTCTTCCAAGGGGAATTCAACAGGGACTTGGAAAAAACTTGACTTGGGGAAATATTTTACTTAGGGAGGTTCAAGTTATCAAGGTTCAAGTGATGATATTTGATGTTTTCTTTCAACTTATATAGCCATGAACTCATAATTCATGAACCAATATGCAATTGCTCAGTATTGCTGTAAGCGCTGCCAATTTTCAGAAAAATTATAACACATGCATGTTCAGACAAGAGCATTTCCTATTTCAAAATTTTGATTATTCATTAAATCTCAAAAATGTGTTGAAGAAATGCAACCTATCCATTCTGAAAGAAATCCCAGGAAGTTGTCCACCTTTCACCTTCATTTTTTTCTGCCTCAAATCTGCTAAAAGCCACAAGTCTTATTGATATAACAATTTTTCCTTATACAGGTGGACTCTCTCTCTACAACAAAATTCAATGGACCAAAAATAATTTGAAGTATAAAGAATGTCATTATAGAGAACCCCTAGAACATGAGGAGAGAACCCATGGGGTAAATTGTTTTGCAGAGAAAATTGTTGTGGACACAATTGTCTTAGCAGGAATCCACCTGTAATAGATAATTATACAGGTCTCATGTGACAATAAGGAGTTTGTTTAAACAAGATTTCACTGTATTTGAACCCTTTTTTAAACCCATTTATTATTTTATTTTACAGGTGATACATTGCAATTTGACCCTGATTCATTGCAAAACTAAGGTCAAAATTGCCCAACACTATGTAAAATTCAAAAATATCAAAGAAAAAAAACAAAACAAAAATGGCCAAAGCAGGTCAAAGTGTGGGGCGAGGGTAAAATTGCGAGTCAACCTTCCTTCAAATTCAACTATCAAATTTTGAGACAGTCAAATTGCAAGGTAACACCTGTACAGTGGCCCCCCGCCTAAAAGACCTCCCGTGTAAGGGATTTTTGCCAAACAGACCAGCTCTGCAAGCAGAGCAGTTTTTCCTCCCGCCCAACAGACAAAATCCGCCAAACAGACTTCTTTTTGTTTAAAATTAGGGTTGAAAATTGAAATTTTGTATGTAATTGAATTTGTGTAAAGGACTTTTTGTCCAACAGACTCGGCCCTTGCACAAATCAAGTCCGTTAGATGGGGGTTGACTGTATTATGGTTATGGTGATGTATGATTGATTGTACTAACCAGTAGCAAATGGCACCAGCAATTCGGGTTCCACAGTACTGCTGACATCAGCATCACCATCATCATCATCATCATCATGATGCTCATTCATCAGAGACTCGGGATGGATTTCCTCCTCAGCTCGCCATTTTCTTGAAATCGCAGTAGTCGTAGAGTCATCACTGATTTCTGATGACCCGACACTCGTTGATTCAGTAGCGAAATCATTCGTTGTTGTGAACACAGTAGCACTGAAATCAATCGTTTCCGGCGTTGATTTCACTTCAATTTCTTCGGGGTTTGGAAAATCTTGAGTTCTGGAAATTCTCGCGGATTCTCTCGGCAGAGACGCTGGGGAAGCAGAATGCAATAATGCTATTGCAGCTATTAATAATAGCTTATTTGTTGCCGGTTTTCGCCAGGAAATCATCGCTTCCTTTGAACCAATTCTCTGTATGTGCACTACAAACCTAAAATGAATCAATGCAATACGAAGAAAATTAAATACGGGATAAAAATGGCGCCTTTCAATCATTGGAATACAGATGACGTGGAACCTGTATTTTTCACTGTAATGGTCAGTAAACAGAATAATCTTGTCACAAAAAAAAACCTCATGAAAACGAATTTGTTTTTTAACAAGAAATTATTTCCCAAGGTCCCTGATAAATTGTTACGATGTGGGTACAATTCTGGCAAAAAAAACATTTTTATAACAACGATTTTCCGTGGATATTTGGCAACACAATTTTTAATCAATCAAATTTGCCTCAGGAGTACATTTCATTCAGAAAGGGCGTTTTTATTTCTTTGATTTCAATTTTCAAATTGTGTTCTGCATTAAACCTGAGTATTTTTCCATAAAAACAAAGTTTCCAAGTCTAATAATAAATTACTTTCAAAAAGTTAAAAAAAATATATCTCGTGAATTAAATTTTTCTTTGAAAGCAGAACCATTTCTGTCCTTCAATTGATGGTGCAAATTCCAAGTACTGTATTGCACTGAATATTTGAAAAAAGCATTTTTAGAAAATGAAACAAGCCAAAAAAACCTGGTTCTTTGGTTGGGGATTTCTCCAAAACCATTTCACAGAATAAAAACAAAATATATTTATTGATGGATGGACACAACATTCAACTTGACAAATTTTTAAAGCAATAGTAACATTCCATTGCTGCCACCAGTAATAACAAATAGGTGTATTTCTCAGTTATAGAATAACCTGTCAGGTTCATAATAAAGGGTTTAATCAAGAAAAATTAACCTTCAATAATCTTTGAGGGAGCCTCTAACAATTTACCCTACAATATATAATGTATAATAATTCAGATGCTGAAAATGGACAGGCATTTACAAATATAAAATTTTCTCATCTTCTAATGCTTGGTTCAAAAATAACTTTTGTTTCCTGGTTGATGGTTCAGCTGATTGACAGGGGGTAATATTCGTAATTAGGCCAATTAAAGATGAATTTCACCAAGTTCAGCATCTGTATAGAGTATACTTCACAAGAAAAATGGCACACAAAGCAGAATTTGAATGTTTATAATTATGTTGTTATTAATCAAAATTCAAAAGCAATTGTCACAAATATCCTTTTTAAACAACTCCATTATAATGCAACATCCAGATATAGTCAACATCCAGTATAAAGCTTTTTCTGTTCTTTTTTAGTGGCTTACCACACATTTTTTTCAGATTCTTAATTTAGTGTACAGGAGATACTGTATATATTTTTCCTTGTGTAAAATAATAATGTAATTTAGCTTTTTGGAACAACGGAGTACTTTTCACTAAATGCATCCCAACTTATTCAGGAATATACTGTACTGTATATTGAATGACGGCGTTCCATTTGTTTATTCTTACTGACAGTTGTTAATTCATTCATATTGGAAGTTGAATTTCAATTAGGTTATCAAGCAGACGTTTTTGTTGTTGGTTTAATTGCACAGTTGTAAATTCTAGATATTTCTGTTTCTACCTTCTTATACACAGACCACGTGCAAGTATAAAAATTTCACGATCTGATTGAAAGCTGAAATTTTGTTCAGACTGCAAAATGTCGTTAAATTCCTGGAGAAAATGGGTAGTTTGTGCTAATAAAAACTGGACAATTCCCAAAATACTGTGAAAAAAACCGTTTTCTGAGAAATCAAGGACATACGACTTCAGCACGGACAATTGAAAACCCGCCAAAGAAAATTGTTTCATTATTCCACCTTGTGGAAAATATGAATTTTTACATATTGGCATGATTAGTATACCGGCTGAAATGGAATACTGTACAGGCAAACTCTCTTCTACCACAGAATTCAAGGGATCAGAAAAAAAGTTTTCTACAGAGAAATTTGTAGCTAACCACTATAACATGTAGAAAGAACCCCATGGGACCAAAGAAAAAAAAATGTGTACAGAGAGAATAGTAGCCAAAAAAAAGTGTTCAAAAATTTACAATTTTTGAATATGTCACAGGGCTGTGTACCGCTGGTATAATACATGTGGTACACAACCCCAAGGTATTTTATAGAAAAGATTGATTTAAAGAAAGTCCACCTATATATAAACAGGTGTTGACTCTCTGCAATGATTTTTTCCACAAAACTTTTCTCTGAATAACTATTTGCTTCTTATCCCATGTAATAGGGTCCTTTGCCCATGTTATTGGTGTTCTTTACAAAAAAATTCTCTCTACAATGCATTTTCTTGGTCCTATGGATTTTGTTACAGAGAGAGGGAGAGAAAGAGAGAGTCCACCAGTACAGTTGACCACAGCACAACAGATTTTTTTTTAAAGAATAGACCATTTCTGGCAGCAGCTTTTCCTCTCACATAAAGGACTAATCCGCATAACAGACTTCATTCTGTAGAAGGGGACACCACACCAATGGACATGAGTCCCTCAGCAGCTTCCCAACTCAATTTGAATATAAAATGTAATTATTATTGCCATGAATGTGTGTGTGTGTTGGGATTTTTGGTTCTTTTGGTTTTAATCTTGCTTGTTTTGAATAAGTGTAAAAAATATAGGAAATTCGAATTTGCAAAACAGACTTTTCACATCACAGACAAGTCTGTATTGTGAATACTGTACAATACCCACCAGAAATTTTTCTATGAACCAATTCCAGAAAATAAAATTATTTGAATTATTTGCGCAAAATACACAGTATTTCATGACCTCTTCAATATAATTTCCCTTTGAAAAATATTAAAATAAGACGCTGAAATATGCGGGACATCAATTCATTTACTTCAGCAGGCGTCACCACTTTATTTTCCTCTTTTCCCCCAGCAATAGTGAGTCATGCAGCTCTTACTATTTCAAAAATTCTGCGTTGAAAGACCCTTGAAATAAAAAAAAATAAAAAACACTAAAACACGAATTCACTTTAAAAGAGATTCACATCTCCCGGGATGTGCTTCCCCAATGATGCCCGAGTGGTGACTGATGGAGAGGGGCATCAGAGGAGCCTGCAATAAGAAACCCAGACATCCGCCGGTCCCGCGCAGCCGGGTTCGACCTTCAGATAAAATAGAATAGAAGGAACCCGCCGTGTCCAGCCAGGATGAGGAGCTGCAGGGAGAGGAAGCCTCCCTTGCAATTAAGCAAGGCGAAAAGGAAAAACGGTTGAGCTGGTATATCCTGATCATTGGAAGTTGGAACCTCATTTATAACCCCAGGGAAGGAAGCGAACCCCAAGGAAATACCAGCCCATCAAACATGTAGGGACTATAGGGAGGGATGATTGCTAGGACAGGATGTTCGGGCGGCGAACCTGTCCCATGGGACAAGAGTGTAGATTTCTTTCCTTTTTCTATCATATCACAGTCTAGCCTTTTGTGTTGCTGTCCTTCACTAGTTTAGATAGTAAAATTTATTACTTCCTCCATGAGGATTACTGAAGATATCTTTCTTGCTCAATTCCTTAGTATTTCTTACTTAAATTACTTTGTAATTAAATAATAATAATTTGGTGAAATAAAACTTCTTTGACCTGTGTACGCATTGTAAAAGTCTGCTGCAATTTGAAGTGTACAATATTTATACTGAAGTACATGAAAATTCAGTAACATTTTTCATCTTGAATAAGACATGGCCATTTTGTGGGGGATCTTGTGGTTGAAATTTCCAGTTGCAGAGAGTGTAAAATTAATTCATCATGTGAATCCAATCTAAATTAAAAGTCAAATGCACTCAAACATCTTCAACACTTCAAGTCACAAACTAAGAGTTGAAGATGGTACCTTGTAATTTGATGTCCCACAATTGGACAGTCCTGTGATTAATTTGAAAGTTGAAGTTGCTGGGACATTGACTTGCAATTTAACCTCTTTCCCTACAATTCCACCTACAGAGAGACTCAAAATGTCAAATTTGATGTAGAAAACATCAAAAATGATATGACATGCACCACCCTTAAAAATATATCAAGAAAAAATTGTATACTCAAGTTAGTCATGTGTAGCACAAACCTCAATTTTTGGTCACTGTTTCTTAGGAAAAAAGTGTGCATGGTACTCACAAAAAAACATTACTGTGCATCAAATAATTCATCACAATAAATCCATCAGGTGAAAGTTCAATTGTACTTTTGCTCCCTCACATGTTAGTCTACATGTCAGCAGTTCAAATTTTGACTGAAATTTTCCAAGAATAATGATAACCATGACCAGGATTCGAATATGAACTATTTTCATGGATTCATTCAATTAGTCCGTTAAGGAAAAATTAGTGTCAGCGATGCATCTCACTTGATTAGCATTTATGATGAAAATGATTCCATTTCTTGGAATTCATTACCTGGCGGGATACAATTCTAATTCATCACTGCTGAACATTAACAGCTCCTTTGGCCTTGCTTCACCAAAACTCCGCCAACGCTTTTCGGTGACTTGATGCAGTATATTTTAATAAAATTCCTTGTTAAACCCTTCCGAAATGAGGCGGTGGCCAGGAAGGTTTTTTTTATCTTACCACCACCCGAAGGGCAAAACGAAGACCACATGTTGATCAAGTGAAAAACGCATGATAAATTTCTTTAATCGACCGCCTCAATTATCAAAGGGGTTTGCAATGTCTATTATTTTTAATTTCTTCCCCGAAAATGCAAGATCATTTCAGAAATTCCACCCCCCTGCATAGAGTTGCCATCACGAGTAAAAAGTATAAATGTAATTTCAAATCCAAATGCAATGAATGCGAAGGGCAAGATATTCCGAATTATCGTCACTTCGCGTTGAAAAAGTATGACGGAGAATCGAACACGTTTTTCGAAAAAAAAAAAGTCTTCGTATTTGGCGAAGCAGTGCGCTTGTGCTGATTGATTCACTTTTTTTCTTCAGGAACGTTGGGTTTCATGTCAGGGGCGTTTTCGTCCTCAGACAACTCGGACACCTTCACGTCAGCGTCATCAACTTTGTCTGGACACTTGTGCTTATTGTGACCACGATGTCGCTCCTGTCGCTTGCACCGGGTGTATACGATCAACTCCTCATCTTCCGGCTCGCTTGTATCAAGCTTGACTAGGTCTTAAGTGTTTCCCGGAAAAATCAAGGTACACGTTGAAAAATTACTTGACAATAATATGTTGGGTTATTATTTTGTGAGTAGTGAAATACCTTCTCCAGCAGGGAAAAATTCATTGCAGTCCCCTCGCATCAGGTTGACTATACTTCTTTTTCTAGCCAATCGCAGGGCAGCTGTCACTACCATGCCTTCTGTTTTCAACTTTGGCTTCTCTAGAATGGTGGCGGTGGGCTCTATGATTCAGAAAACGAAATGAAATTTAAAATTTGCCATAATCGTACACGCATGAATAAGCTTCTCGGATTTATTCTAAAAATTTGCAAGTGGATCTACTTATTTATGCTGGCAATGTTCTCATTTTCAAAAAGTACAAAATCTCAATTGAATAAAAATTAAGTACTCTCCCAAATCTGACAGGAGCAGGAAAAAGTGCTATACTGTATAATATACAGTATTTCAAAATCAAAATCAAATATATTTTGATTATTATTTTAATAACATATATCTTCTCTGAAACCCAAGTGACTATTTCTTCATCTTTGACTCTGCTGCTCAGATTGAACTGTTTCCTGCACTCACAGTTCAATAACAAGTTTCTGCACTCACGGATAGATGGAGGTGCAGATCCCATGATGTCTGCTCCCCTGGCATACTCATTGACCAAAAAGTTCTCCTGGGACTCCACACCTGACCAATTTTGCATTGGTTCAGCAATACCAGTCAATGAAGTGGAAGCAGCCACAAGACCCCTTGAAGATGGCTTGAGTTTGTTCACTTGTGTGTCATCATCTTGGCAGTTTCCTGCCTGCTTTGCAGAACCCGAGCCTCCTCTGAGGCACCTTGTTTCAGCCAAATGCTCTGGATTCAGGGTATGCCTGGAACCACCTGCCTACAAGTTGTACAAAAATTCCACAAATCAAGGTCAATTTGGTGAATAGGCAAGGTTTTGCTGCATGCACTGGAGTGAATCAATTGACGGGAGGGTGAACTAAGAGGCAAGAGTATATTACCCAAGTGGGGAGCTATTTTTGCTGTGACCCCATGGTAGGTGCACAGCACCATGGTCACAACTGGTGCATATGGTATATTCTCGGGTTACAAGTGTGCACTCCTGTGGGGGAAATTTTGCTACCATTCCAGGGCTTGGTGCACAAATGTGAAAGAACAGGATTATCACACAAATGCACCAACTGCAACCAGTGTAACTTATTTGTTTGCAAATGTGACCCTGAGTAATCCTGGTGTGAACACACAATTGGTGCACATTAGGGATATGCATGTGCAACAGAAGCACTTTGGTACCCTTCAGGTGCACAGCAGAGTCACTGTAGAATTAAAAGCATATCCCCAGTGTGCACCAATTTCCCCACTGGGTTATTTGGACATTCTGTCACTCACTTCCTTTTGAAATACAATTGGTACCTTGCAATTTGACAAAATGCAATTCAACCTCCTGCAATTCAACTGTCCCACAATTTGATGGTCAACTTTGCAGAGCGGTTGACTTGCAATTTGACCCTTGCCCTGCAATTCAACCAGCTTTGGCCATTTTTCACATTCTAGTACTTGCATTTCTTGAATTTCAGGGAGTGTCTCACAATTCAACCAATTCTGAATTTTACCTACAGCTCTGCAACAGATTAGGGTTGAATTGCAATGTACCACATGTAGAGCATCAAGTAGACATTTTTGCTTTTCTCTTTCCTTGATCCTCAGAAAAATAACCCATATGCCTTCACATTGTTACAGGAAGTTCCTTGCAATTCGACCTCCTGCAATTCAACTGCCCCAGAATTTGACAATAAAATTTGCAGGGAGATTGCAATTTGACCCTTGCCCCACAATTTGACCTGCTTTTTAATTTGTTCTCATTTTTGTACTTATATATTCTGTTTGACAGAGTGTCTGGCAATTCAACTGATTTGCAATTCAGCACTAGTTTGGCAAGGGATTATGGTTGAATTGCAAGCTACCACCTGTACTGAGGTTTGAGGTGAAAATCTTTGAGCTATTCTAGAGGGATCTATATACATAACATTACTCCTGAAGGAATTCATAAAGAGATTAAACATATGTTACGTAAGTTTACAACTTAGGAAGGTTTGAGTGTTGCATGAATTAAATGCAACATGTAATTTGTCTCTGAGCTGGTATAGAAATATTGAGTCACCTGGCCAAGAATTAATGGATTTGATTTTAGAAAAGAAACATTTTTATATTTGCAGCCTGAACTTTTTGTTGAAGCTCAGCAGCTGCAATTATGTACTTTTCTTTTTGATTGCCCCAAGTGGGAGGACTTTATTTTTATTTTCTGTGCCTGGTTTTAGCAATTTTTATCAGGCCAGGATTGTGTGCCAATTTTATCAGCAAAGGGTTTTGGTGGAAAAGTAATTTTGCAGAAATTGAAAGATCTTGAAAACTATGCATTGTACCAATATTTTTGTGAGCATCAAATTTGTAGGAAACCTTGCGATCTGAAATGTAGACGTTGCACATTTTTATATCTATTAAATTGAGCAAGATATTTGCTTTGGAAGTTTGAGTTGCAAATTACGCAATTGTACAAATGTATCCTTGGAAAATTTCCTGGTTTCCAGGACTTGTTTTATTGTTGAAAGTGTCCATATGTTTTCATGCCTGTTGTTCTGTGTATGTAAGGTGTGTTGAAATTGTGAATAAATCATCAGTCTCACTAAAGCTGGCACAGTTGCCTGTTCTCTCATATTTTCCCTTTGGCTTAAAACTCCAATCTTAGCTTGGGAGCTGCTCAAACGCTCTTGCACTGTAGTTAATTTTAAATTTGGCTAAGTCTTGTGGCATTTATTATTAAAACCATCCACATTTGAGTCCGCAAGTGTCAACTATATTTCCTTCAGTACCTCAAGTCTTTGGGCACTATCACCCCTCCCCCTCTCTAAAAAAAATGTTTACCAATGTTATGGGGTGGACATAATTTATTAAAAAATGACTTTTTAATTTAGTACTTTTTTCAGACTGCTTCTATCATGGTATAGCAAGACTGGTTCTTGTTCTTGAGCTCCTTCTGGTATAAAAAGATCAGATCAAGTATGGTTTCCTTAGTCTGTACCTTAACTTTCTTTATTTTGAAGTTTATAAAAGAATGCTATGAAATTTGCTGGGGACTGTTTTCCTAATTTTTTATGAACAGGTGCGCCAATTGAATATATTCCCA